TAACAAAGCCAGTCACAGCAGCAAAGTTCAAACATTGTTTGAGCTTGCTCAATCTTGTTCCATGCTAAAGATTGAGGTGGAGTTCTTGGGAGTTATCAGGACGATTCTCAAGACATAACAGATGTCCTGAAAGGCAATGATTTCCACATGGAGTTTTAGGTTCGCCAAGGTGGAGATTGTTGGAAAAATTGGCTCACCTAAGGATACAAAGTCCTCTTTTGTGTGCTATGGATTTCTACCTAAATTCCATGACATGGTTGACTCATTTCTAGAAGAATTTTGGAGTTGCCCATGTGAGTAAATATTGGCTTGCCATCTTTGTCAAAAATAGGTGACTTGTTTGGTGGCACAAAATGGTGGAATGTTTGGTAGCCATCCATGGTTAAGTTTGGTAGCCAACATTTGAATAGTGTGAGGTTGCATTCACACTCTTGCATATTTGGCTATATAAAGGGGTTTAGCATGCAAGAAGCTAAAATCATGGCTTAAGAGTTCTCTAGTGTATCAAAGTGTAGAGCAAGGGGTGAGAGAGAAAAGAGAGCTTGTGGAGAGAATAGAGTTCTAAGGGGGTTTCTTTGTAAACCAAAGTTGTAACTTATTCTTTCATTAGTGAATTTCTCAAGGGGATCACCAAGAGGATATAGTCAATTGCTGAACCTCTATAAATTCTTGTGTCATTTTGTGCTCGGTTGGTTTCTCAAGTGTAGTGTGTGTGATTCATCCATAATTGTGTTTGTCACAAAGTCCATCAACAACAAGATCAAGGGGAGGGTGAGTTGAGTTTTGTGCTCAATTCACAACAGTATGATCTTGTAAGTCTTGCTTCTGTGTGATACTACTGTATGTACGGGTAATATCTCGGATCATTAAGAAATAGGCTCATGCAACTCTAATGTACATAATAGAGACTATCGTTTGTACTTTAGACTATCAATTTTATTCAAAAAATAAACATAAAAAATGAATTTTTAAGTTTTCAACACTTTGGATTTTGAGCTTATAGTATTAGGGCTCTTTCAAGATTACTTGTACAAAGTACTTGTACACATAAGCGTTTTTGTAATTCAGTGCTTTTATTAGAAAGATGTTGAATTTTTTTGTTCAAAATCAAAGTGCTTCCTTCAATTCACACCTAGCATGTGCTTCTCCTTGTTTTATGGTGTGGTGCTCATTCTTTTTCCAACCTCTTGTAAACATGGGAGAACATATATTATAAGTAAAAAATTTGGCTCTTTAAAATTGAGGAGGAACTACTTCTCGAAACAAATGAGATTACAATTACATGGGAATTGCACATATTATTGTTAAATGTTCATGTAAAAATAAGCTATCACGCATTGCCAAAGGTTAGTATGAAAATTTTGCCCTAATCCAGAACCATATTAATCTTTCAATTTCCCCTAATCCAGAAACATATTAATCTTTTCCCAATGGCTAGTATGAAAATTTTGCCTTTTTTGACTTAGATTTGGTGTCAATTATGAATTAGTTACTATTTTATTGTTGTTCTGGTTGTGAAAGGGGGATCAGAAAGAGAGGACAATAAGGTCTCCATGGAGCTGACAGAGGAAATTCTTCAAAGCATGGAAGTTGGGTTAGCTTTCAGAGACCATGTAATTACTCTATCTCTGTTTCTGGTTGTTTTCTTCATTTAATAAATAAATGAAAAAATACCATCTTCTTCAAGCTTTGCATATTTGAAGGCCCTTGTTTTTATGCATAGAGTGGTAGTATTAGTTCATTGGATTTTCACAAGGCGACTAGTTATGTAGTGACTGCTAGTGATGATGAGTCTATTCGCCTACATGATGTCTCCACTTATGCTGTTGACTTGGTTTGCTTTACTTCTCATCCTACCACAGTTATATACTCTTCCAAAAATGGCAGGGACGGTATGCTTCCACTTTACCTCAACTACCATGTTTGATATTTATGTTTGTTAACTGCGTGGCATGCTATTACGTTTAGAGTCAGTTATTTTATTTGATTGGTTCATTCAGTTCAGATCAGAATCCTTGGTTCATTCAAGTATGTGCTCTAGCAATGTTCTTGTTTGCTTTTCCATTCATTGTCATGGCAACTCAAGGGCAATTACTATTCATATGGAATTAATTTTATTTATATAGTTGTGATTAATAATAATAAAAATTATTAGGTATGTCAAAAAAAAATTCTGAATTTTTTTGTAATTTTTCAGATTTTTTTTCCGATTTGTTTCTTCTCTGTCAACACCCTCAAGCAGCAACTCAGGCTAATCTTGCCTTCGAGCCTGCCCAATTTTGAGGGAGCCCACATCTTGCCCTGGCTAGAATGCATTGGTGGAGAGGTATTTTCAGCCCAGTGGAAATGTTCTTACCCTATTTTTAGGATTTAGTTTTGCATTTGCCGCAGGGTTTCTATGTTCTGCCATGTTCTGCCACATGCCCTATTTCTAGGGTTTTCTCTTGTGAGTCCTTATTTAGTTGAGATTTTAGTTCCTTACTTAGTTAGGAGTGTAATTACTTACCCATTTATTTAGTATACTATTGTAATTGAGATATATTTCATATTATAATTTAGATATATTTCTTATTGTATTTAGAGTTAACACATCTTTGTACTTTTTTATAAATACATCTATATTACAAGAAGAATACACATCTAAGCATATATGAGAATTCCGTAAACTTTGTTTGTCCGTTATTAATTGTTGCACAGATAAACGACAGTAACCAAACTTAAGTTGAATTGAAATCTTGATTATTTATTGATTAATGGTTTGTTTTCTAGCTAAATACTATTGCCATTCCAACGATATTTACTTTCCGCTCAAGAAAAGGAGAAAACCCCTATCTTTTTATAAATATTTACTTTTTATTCTATTCGAGTCAGCAAAACGAACACAGTATATGAAGACACGAAATCATCAATAAATATTATTATTTCTTAACAAAGAATCCCTGGGACTGAGATGAAGGGGAATCCTTGGTGGTTGTTCGTTTGGAAGAAACTGTTTCATCTCAAAATGTGGAAGAAACTTTCTAACCGATGCAACAATCTTCAATTAATTTTGAAACCGCATCTTTTAATATTTTCGATAAAAGGTAAGTGTTGTTGATTTGTTGTGATAATTTAATTTGCTTGAACGTACAACTGTTATGACATCAAGTGGAATACTTGTTTGTGTTTGTTTTTGGTAAGGGATACAGTTTTGTGATAATAATATCATGAGTTTTTGGATAAAATTCTTATGAATATATATATGTTTGTGAGTTCGATTCTTATATTCAAAGTTGTTACTAGGGTTGGAGAAGTCGAGGACAAAGGAAAACGAGCAGTCAACCTTAATGGACCTACCCAATGATTTCCTCTTCGACGTCCTTACAAGCAAGGGCGGAACCAGAAATTTTTCAATGGGTGGGCTAGCTAAAGTTATTAGCTTAAAATCTAATGATAATTTTTTTTTTGTACTTACATTTTCTATAGTTTTTCTAGAAATAAAAATATACATTAAATCATATAAATCATGCTAATTGTAAACACAAGGAAAAAAAAATTAGAGCCATATTATTCACAAAAGGTGAATTTTATTTAGAAAAATGCTTAACTTTTGGAGACAAATTAATAGAAATTTTTTTAAATTGTTGTTGGGACAAACTTTAACACCAAATACAAATGTGGAAGACCTCTTACTATGCATATTGGTGTTGAGATTATATATATATATACAGTTATTCTCTTATCCGGATGTCCGCACGTTATTATCGTGCGGATCCTATTGTAAACAGGCAGGAAAACAGAGAGGGGTAGTACAAAATACACTGCGTTCGCACGATAATAACGTCCGGATATCCGCATAAGAGAATTTCTATATATATATATATATATATATA